TTGATTCCTTTTGCAGGACAGAACCCGGATGCCTCAGGCACTCCAGGGTCCTTGGAAGCAGTCGCTGAACCTGAGGAGGTCAAAGCTTTCCCATATGATGAGGATCCTGAACCCGTATATACTATGGAAGACGAGAATTGCCCTTTTGGTCCAGCATCTAAGAACTGTTTCCGCAGAGTGAGTCTGCCACCTGCTCCTGACAGAAGACAGCGTCAGCCCACGCCTATGTATCCCCAGGAAGAGGATCGAGAGGTTAATGTTGGGCATGCTGTCTCGTTCAGAGGCAGACGGCTTTATGTTTCAAATGAAGAACGCGGGCGAATCATTCAGAGAACGCTTGGTGCAATGAGACAGAAAATCCGCGATGCCCACATGACTGGTCCCGTTCCGCCGCACATTGAAGCCATGCGCAATCAAACAGGCAATGCGCTCAGATATATTGCAGAATTTGCGGGAGACCCGATTTTCGCGTTATTGGGCAGCCTCAACCAAGATGACGGCACGTTTAATCAGGCAAAGGAGTTTCTTCGAGCTGAGTTCTATTCCGAAGATGTCTCAGAAGGGGTTCACTCCGAAGTCTTTTAGGTGCCTGAAACAGTTGGTAGTTGGGGTTGATGATAACCATAATCCAGCTGCCTTAGGCAGTATGGAGTTTTGGAGTCCGCAGAGCTGCCGAGTGGACAAGTTTGCTGAGCACATAGGTAAGTGTGCGGTATACCTCGCGAGGCATTGCTCGGACTATGCGAGATCGCCGAGTGGCTGGGTCTACTTCGGAGACCGAGTGCAGAATATTGCAGAGGACGGATTCACTTACCAGTCATACGCTCTTGCTGCACACGGCTTAGCCGCGTTGCAATCGGAGACAGTGGAAGTTTTTGGAATACTCCCGAACGATAGTGACAACATCAGTGGAACAAGTGTTCACAACATGTGGACACAGTACAAGGCGTGCCCCTCACAGGAAAAAGAGAGGAGCGATATTGCCATACCCGTTTTCTATCGTGCATGCCAGGGACATTCCACTTTTGTCGCTTCCATTGCAAAAATGTACGTCCCATATGACCCTGGCCAAGTCAGGAGTCATGGATCCCTTCTCCATGTCACAGACATGCAGACGTTCTTGGAGTCCACGGATGGGAGAGTACGCTTTCCGAAGAAAGATTCAGGGCTTTGCCTTGAAGCAGACTACGATTTGCTCAGGCTGCTTCCGATTAAGAGGAGCCCAACAATATCTAATGCAACGCGTATTCTTCCGTGGCTCAGCCGGCGGAGGTACGGGGAGCCCCCCCCTGCACGGCATTTTGTGTCCATGGGCCATGATGCGCAAGAATGAGAGCTATGGCCCGCAGAGGACACAGTCCATCTATGGGAAAAGCTCCCCAATCACAGATAATCCTGGTCACTCATTCTTGTTTTCACTGGCCGAGTGCTCACTCGTTTCTCGCGCAGGATTTGCCAAGACGGGACCCTCGTGTCTCGAGAGGTGCCGAGGTTCACTGATATTGACAAGGCTGTTACCCTTGTTAGAGTTGGACCTCGCGATAACTCCGTAGTACATCAGATGTTCTGGTCTGTTGTCTTCAACCGTGAGTGGGCCTCGTACGAAGTGACTCTTGACAATGAATCAATGATCGCTTGGATTCGCACTGACGAGACGCTATCGTTGATTCCGAATCATAGGCCCCAGTTGTCACCCGCGGCGCAAGAACGTGTTCTGTCTGTCCCCTGGGACGATGACGGAAGGTTTCTATGCTACCAATTTCGCTGGGTGCGCACGGGCTTCGGACACTGTCCAGTTTGCAGCTGTCGGGTCATTTGTAAACATAGAGTCACTCATGACTAGATGGCCCAGACGTGGAGTAGAAGGATCATTCCGCGATCCCTTGAGGCAAATGCATGTAGATTACATGTGAATGACCCCTATGATCTTCCCAATGCGCGTCCTGAGTGGATCAAAGCGCGTGGGAGAAGACAACAGAGGGCTTCTGCGATTGTGATGAAGAGTATCAGCAGTAACCAACCGCAGGGGCGCAAGTGGGTAGAAGGGGGATTCACGCGAATGGCTGATGCAGGTCAGATCTTTGGGAACAGCCAGCCAGGCAACTTCCCTGCTTGGGTTCCAGCGGACGCCGCGGCTCAGCCGCCGGCGCGCCATGGCTCTTTCTTTCAGTATTTGACGCCCTTGACCCGAAGGTTCATTGGATGGCTTGCGTTCTTGGCCTCGAGGGCGAGAACGCAGGTTCCTGTGATCCAGGTGCGGTGGCCCTTGCTTTGGCGAACAAATATTGACCAGTATGCACGCCCAATATTTTGCCCGGCTCTGGCAGCCTTCGACTGGCCAGATTACCAAGACGATGTCTTCGAACCGGTGACCGGTTGGGATAGATGGCATCACTCGATGACCGGGCAAAACGTCTTCGTCCCGACATTTCAGACAATAGTAAATGCGATATCCATGGGGACACCGCGGCTGCCTGTGCCGCGGGAAGACGCCGCGGATGCCGCAGGGCAAAGCCCTCGCGGACGTCTACCGGTTGTCGGGGGGAACAGCCTCGAGGCGAGGCCAACTCGTGACTCTCGTTCCGTCGCTAGACGAACCAATGAGTGTCGCGATCATCGCCTCATAGCACCGATGCTGCAACCTGCCACCGGCGAAGCCGCGATGGCAGGCGCGCGCTCACAGGTCAAACTTGACTTCTCAACGCTCAGCGGGCCTAAGGCTACGCTGATAACCGAAGGGGCGATCAACTTTGATCAGCCCGACGGCTTTTCATATAACCATTGCGAGCACAGCTCAATAAATATATCTTTACACGGGATAGAGGCTAGGGCGATCGCAGCCCAATATGTTGTTGAATACACAGGTGTTCGCTCAAACTCCAATGTTCCCGATAGATTGCGACTGTCAGGGTAAATGGAACACGAGGTCCCAGCGATTGTGAAGAACATAGTTGAAGGGAACTGGATGGCCCCTGTGCAACAAATGCAACTTGGTCTGCGCATTATAAGAATACTTGCTATCGTTCGCAAGACCATGAGCTCCTTCATTTCAGACGGATACTTCGTCGGTTACCCGGGGCGAATAATTCGCGCCGTGAGAGGGGGCGCAGATAATGTTTGCTTAAGGCGACGGAGAGATGAATACGCCCTGGACTGTCGCATCCGCGCTGCGGTCCAAACGGGCGACCTCATAGAATAGTGGGCCCGTAATTTAGGTAGACAAGTACAAACCGACATTCGTCGTGAGGGCCCATTATTACTACAAGAGGCCATTTCTTGGATTCAAAACAAGTACATAGATCCCGGTACGGAGCTCCAGGATAAGGACGCAGGTCCGTTCCGTACTGCATGCGGAAAATTTGGCATTCCAGTAGCTACAGCTGCTAGGAATTTGCTGAAGTTCATTCGAGATCGAGAGCAGAACGTTCGTGAGAGCAGAAATGCCGACCCGCACCACGGCAGCCAAGCTGATTCCGCGGGGCCGATAAGAGAACAGGATGCGGCGAAAGCCAGGCCGCAGCTGCCACCTCCGCCGCGCAGACCCGACGCATCAGACGCTCGGGCTGGCGACGAAGTTGCCGAATCCCCGCGCTCTGCCGCCGGCGCAGCCGCGGCGGCAAGAGAAGAATACTCGTGGTATTCTGACACATGGGATTGGTCGAGGCCCCCGCGCGCGCGCGCGATGGAGCCGTGGACGTCGGCCGCGGCGCTGCCGGCTACGACCCGCGCGTGTCCTACCCACACTACATAAACAATGTGCAGGTTGGGTACTACGTCCATCGGGATCGGATCACATGGCTGTCCGACGATGTCTGGCGGTCGCAGATTTGGCACACGCTGTCTCTATTTGAACATGACTTTCACTTCCCGCCGAAGGGGGGGCGCCCAAGAACAAGGACAATAACTACAGAGCAGCATACTACGCTGGTCGTGGCAAAGGAAGGTCCCGATCGCCTCGTGGCGGCGAGGGGCAGACTGGAGGCTCGGCGCCGTCGAGCCCGAGGCCTCCGACGCCACCGACGGGGGATGGCAACCCGTTCAGGGGCCTGGATTGAGTCCGGCCCGCGTGACTTAGTCGCTGCAGGCGCATGCAAGAGAGTTCTCGACCGCGCGACGAAGTCGTGTCGGACGAGTAAAGCAGCTCTGCCGATCGGCTAAGGCGAACCGGCGGAGAGAATTTATTTATATGATGGTGGGAGTCGTCGGGCCTCTTCGGCCCTTAGCCCCCTGGCGGCCACCGTTGAGCGGTAAAAGTTTTTGGGGTTCGCTCCGGTGGTTGTACATATATAGGCCAGGGGTGCTGTGGCCGGATGGGCTCTACGAGGCCCGCCGCGGGGGGAGTAAATAAGCTCCTCTCCGCCTCATATTCATGTTGCTTTTCACATCGCTTGCCTTGCTGCGCGCTGTCTGACTACGATTGCGGTAATATTCCGCAGCTGTGTGTTTGCTCACAGGAGATCAAAAGGAGCGTGCTGGCTCGCACGCGCGCGCCGAAGGGTCGCCCCCTCGTCGTAGTCGTGTCGTCGGCCGGCCGGCCTCCTCACTTACCATTCCTGATAGAGTAAACTTGCTTACCGGTTACTTGTCTTATCGATGTCGCATCCCGTGCCCTCTTCCACTGAGCAGAGTGAACGTGAGACCTTAATTCATGTGTCATCTTACCCCGATTCTCAGAGGAAAGACTTCTTTCCCCCCAGAAGGGGGGTTCGTCTTCGTCGTGGTCGTTTTGGACTGCTCCAGGTGCATCTGGCGTTTGCCGTTGCCACGGCTGGACTCAGCTCGAAATGCCAGCCAGTGTGGACCTTTGGAGGGCTCCAGGGATTGATCTTCCGCAGGTTTTGGAGGGTCGCGCCACGAGGAAAGAGAGGGTCCTGAGGGAGAGGGGTCCTGAGGCCTCCCCCCGCGCACGTCTCCCCAGGGCCCTTCCCGGGCCCTGGGGGCCGTCGAGCAATGACTCAGGATAACGGCGCAGTCCTGGGTTCTCTTCATCCGTGCCAGAGGAGCGCCTGGACTCCGAGATGAAGATCGTGGGCGAGTACGGCCTGAAGAATAAGCGCGAGGTGTGGCGTGTGCAGTACGCCCTGGCCAAGATCCGCACTGCGGCCCGGCACCTGCTCACGCTCGACGAGAAGAGCGAGCAGCGCATGTTCCAGGGCGAGGCGCTGCTCCGTCGCATGATCCGCATCGGCCTGCTGATGGAGAGCGAGAAGAAACTGGATTACGTGCTCGGTCTCACCAGCGCGAAGATCATGGAGCTCAGGGGGGGACCACGCGACCCCTGCCTCAGCTGTCGGGCCATGCCAGGTCATATGCTGGCGTGTCTGTCTGATGTCTGATCGGCGGTCGGTCTGGGTGTGAGTAGTCCTTCAGCGGAGCTGGGATTCCACTGCGCAGAGCATAGGAGGGCATATGGTTGAAAGAGGAGGACAATGAGAAAAAAGACAATGAGGAGGAATAGAAACACGATGGAGAGGGAGATGGAGGAAGGGAGACAAAGGAGATGATAACAATGATAATTCGGACAAGGATGTTGAAGAAGAGGAGGATGAGGAGCAGGAAGAGGAGGAGGAGGCGGATGAGGAAATGGAGCTGAGGAGGAGAATGAAGGGGAGAAGAGGGAGGATCAAGTGGGCGGGGAAGAGGATGGTGAGTCGGATGTGTGGGAGGAAGGGGTGGGCGACGGAGATCAGGGGGCGCGAGGATGAAAAGGAAAACGAGGATCCTGTGGAGGAGGAGGGGTAGGATGGATAATCCGAGAAGGAGGTGGAGGAAAAAGACGGGGATGAGGATGACCATAGAAGGGAGGGGGAGGATCAGTGATCAGGAGGGGTTGAGAATCATTAGTGGCTGGTGTCTGACAACCTTGGCCCGATGTGAGGCAAACGAGACGGGGGAAATGGGAGGAGAGAAATGGAGAGGAGGGGGGGAGTGCGAGGAGGAGGAGGAGGAGGGATTACGGACGACGGCGACGTGAGATGAGGAGGAGGAAGTGGAGGAGAAAATGGGGGAGGACCAGAGAAACCGAAGATGCATCAGCGATGCGGCAACGCATCAGCGATGCGGCAACACACCCTCCCGTATCAAATCCCCCTCATAAGTCCCTACAAGCCTTCCTTGTCATTGCACGAAGCGCCCCCATGGAAAAATCAGCAGCCTATGCCTCTGCCATTAAGGCGAGAGCAATCGTTTGGAAAGGTATGATTAGATAGCTCAACGAGGTGTCCAGAGAGATGCCCGTTTTGGAAAATGCTCGCTCACCACCCGTGTAATCTTTTCACATGCATGCGCTTCTGGTCGTGGACACCGAGGAAGTTTCATGCGAGAGCCCTATGTTATGTAAAGTCACCGTCCTCCGTCCGTGCAGTTGCTACATCTGGTGAAGTCAACGGTCCACAATTGTAAGGACGTGCCAAGCGATATATCCATTTAGGATAGGAGCCTCCCTCCATTGTTATAACTACTGCCAGGCTTTAAGACGAATTTGCATGGCGCCAAGGCGGGAGCTCCATTTTGAACAGCAGCCGCCCTCCTGGGTAGTACCTTATCGAACGCTTGAGACGAATGTGCGTGGCGCTGAGGCGAGCCCCTTTTTGAAAATGAACAGCTTTCCGCTTGTAATGCTTGTATGTATTGTAGTGGCCTCCTCCGACCAGTGCCGCCGATCCGGGGCGCTCCGGATGATGATGATGATGATGATGATGATGATGATGATGATGATGATGATGATGATGATGATGATGATGATGATGATGATGATGATGATGATGATGATGATGATGATGATGATGATGATGATGATGGTGATGGTGATGGTGATGGTGATGGTGATGGTGATGGTGATGGTGATGGTGGTGATGGTGATGGTGATGGTGATGGTGATGGTGATGGTGATGGTGATGGTGATGGTGATAGTGATGGTGATGGTGATGCCCTGCGCTTTGGGTCGGTTAGCCTAGGCTCGCTGGGCCTGCTCAACCACAAGAAGAGGAAACACGACGGGGCGCCCCCCTCGATTGGACTCTGAGAGCGGAGTCCGCAACATCCAGAACCGAGACGGAGGCGGCGACCTCTTGCCTCGGGCACGGGACGAGGCATTATCTAAATTGTTGCCAGGCTGGATCGGGCGAGAGGCTAACCTAACTCGAAACCAAATCCGAAAGGGTCATAGTCGGCCTCATCTTCGAGCTCGACCTCGACCCCCATGGCCTCCTCCCAGTCGGGAGGAGGAGGGGGAGGAGGAGGAGGAGGGAGAGGGTCGGAAACAAGGGGAGCGAGACGAGCGAGTTGGGACTCCGAGAACCCCGCAGACCGATGGGGAAGGGGTCTCGTCACAGCACGCTTCTCTAACATTCGTACAATCGATCGATGCATTAAGGTGGTCAAAGTAAAACGGTCCCTGGCTTTCTGAATAACCGAGGTCGGGAGGGGGTGTAACTTGGCGGCATTAGCGGCAAGCACATCAACATTTTTATTCAACTCCTCAGCGAGCGGATGCACCGCGCCGCGGTCCACACCGTCCTCACCCTGGTGCGAGTACACATGCTCGATGTGGAACATGTCGGGCTTGGCGTCGATCGCTGACTTGATCTGGGCCCAGGTATCGTTCCAACTTCCTCCAGGTGGTTCTCCTCCTTGAAGTACATTTTGAAATTCTCGAACACATTGTTGGTTGTCGCAGTAGATCCATACGGGCTCTTCCGCAACGCATGCAACCTGCAGTAAGGCACGTGCTTCAGCTCGGGCACTACTTTGTCGTGGTCCGTATAGCTTCGAAGCATAGTTTAGGCGGTGGTGTGGTGCCACGTAAACCGCGTATCCAGCACGAGCAAGCCACTGGTGCTGAGGGAAACGGCAGGCGCCACCCGTAGCTCAGGCCAGCCACCGTTTGTTCTCGTCGTCCGTGATGTAATTGACCATGTCCTCGGCAGGGTCATCGTCCACAGGCTGTGGGGGCCGATGTTGCGGAGGTTCAGGTGTGGCAACGAGTTCGTTGTAAAGGTTGACCGTCTCCTCATCGATGTACGTGAGCCCACAGTGTCGTGTTGAAGGCGGCCACTGATCACGTTCTTGAGCCTGTGGATGTTGAAGAAGAGGTGCGCGCTCCTCTCGCCAGCATGGGCACTCCCACAGGATGTGTTCTTGCGTTTCCTGTTCTCTGTCACAGAACCTGCACACCGCTGACGAGTCTTCAGAGATACAAGATCTTTGCAATCTTTGTTGTGTGTGATCGCCGCCAACAAGAAATACAGACAGTAACCCACGCTGCCGCTTAGTAAGACGGTGCCTTAGACTGCGTGTACGTAGGAGCCAAGAATTTGAGACCATGTCGATGCCGTGTTTATGTTTGGCCACGTCTCCGAGGTCGTTCCGCGTAGTAGGCACCTTACGTAGGAACCACCGTCGCTGGGAGTTTCGAAGGTGGCGCATGACAAAGTCACTGTGCCCTTCGAGCCACGAGATGGGGGGGGCGCCCAGTTCGATCATCAGGATATCGAAGGATGGCCAGCGCCAGTTGAGCTGGTTGAGCACCTTGACGAACGTTCGCACTGGACCAGGGTAGGCTGCGTCTGCATCTTGGATATGATCACGAAGGTCGCGCACGTAGTCGCGCAGCTGGGGTACCCGCAAAACCTGACGGCGTAACGTGAGGGTGACTTCCATCTGGCTGATCGCGGTGGGGTCAGGGAGATGGCCTTTCAGCACGACGCTCAGCATAATCCACTGGCATGTCCACTGCCGTCCCTTCGGCATGCTGGTCGCAAACATGGCGTGGTAGTAATCCCGCAGCTGTCGGTTGGAGGGCGTGCCGAGGTCAGAGCCCACAGCAACCATGGATGCCGCCATCGTCTGCGCAATGTCGGCACGCTTGTGCAGAGGTAGAGGAAGCCGTTGAGCCCGTTGAAGTCGTTGAACTGCAGCAGCAAAATGGCGGTCCATGAGGCTGGTGTCATCGCCTCCGCGGGTAATGATCTGGCTGCACACCAGGCGGAAGGCGCGCTTGACGGGCAGGTTGTGGCCACAGACCGTAGTATTGGCGAGCTCAGTGGCCGAGTCCTCGTCGGTAGTCCACGCGACCAGCTTCCCAAGGTGTAGTTCTTGCCCGGAGAGTTTATCAAAAAGAAGTGATTCGCGAAGCGATTCACGGATCCCAGCCATGTCCCACACTGTCGAGTTGGGGTCGTCAATATACGTAATGGACAGGGATCTCGAAACAACCCTGTGTTGTCTCGCCGTCCAAACATACATAAGCGTCTTAATCTCATCAATACTGAACGCGGATACTTGTAAGTGGCCATTCGTCGTGGCGATGGCTTCGCTGTATGTTCCAGACTCTCGCAGGTATCTCCGATGCTGGGCATAGAGCTGCTCGCGGACTCGCAGTGCACTCTCAGGGCGCCCTGCATGTCGTTGTAGCTCGATGCGCATGCTGGCGATCAGCAGGTCGAAGCACTTCTTCCTGTCGAGGGCAAGCCCATGGACCCAGTTCTCGGTGTGCCGAGACCACTCGACCTGCAGGGCGAGACTGGTGGAGACATCCGAGAGACGGGCCCCCGAGGTAGCCCCAAAACTCGTGGGGTGACTCCACTTGCGCCTCCAAGGTTCGAGCTTTCGGTGAATCGGTACTTCCCAAGAGTAAGGCCACACAGGCAGAACGGAAAGGCGCCTTTGCTCCTCAGGAAAAATCCCCTCTCTCTTCCTCAAGGCGGGATTCGGAACACGTTTGAAAGCCGAGGGGGACTGGCCCGAATTTTGCATCGATCGAAGAGCATCGGCGAAGACGGCTTGGATGGCTGTGGGCAGAGCTTTGGCCTCCACCGTCGCCCATCCGTCAAGACCTCCCGCCTCGCGAGAGGAGCGTGCCTGGAGAAAAGTGCTGACATCAGCATCGCTAAGTGAAGGCTCAGAGCAGGGGCTCACGGGGGGGGGTTCAGCTTCGTATTCGGCGCGGAAATCCTCCCACGTAGGAACCTCTGAAGTCCCGCGATACTTGCAGAGGATCGGCTCCCAAGTTCGCTGCATCAGCTGGATCATGTCGAGCGGGTTGGAGATGATGTCCTGAGTGTCGTTTTTTTTGTGTTTGAGAAAGGCAGTGGGTTGCTGTGCCCGCGCTTTTACCCAGGCGCACACCTCCCGCCCTCCACTTTGACAAGATGCTGAAATCCGTGTTCGCCATTGTTGCAGCCGTTGGCGTTGGGCTTCTGCAGCGCACCGTTGTTGTTCAGCAAGTTCCTGAGCAGCAGCGCGGCGAGCC